AGCAGCATGTGTGATAGACAGAGAAGCACCCCGGTTCATCGTGCGAACACAGCCCGGAGAAAGAGCGAGAGAGGAAGCTTAAGGAAGAAAGATATCAGGGGTGTTTTAGATTTAATATACACTGTCAACACGGCTGCAGTGCTGATAGGACGTGTGCGTATATTGTGCTGCTGCTGAATGTAGCTATCAGTGGCCTTGCCAGTCTTTTAAAGAAGCTCGCTGTTCATCCAATCTTTGTTCTGTCACTCACTCCGCACTCCAAACACACACTCATGCGTGAGGTGAGGGGTATGCACTGCACTCTCAAAAAAATGTTTGTAAATGGTTCACTTGCACTTAAGTTCACAGTCAGACTCTCTGTCTCTCTCGCTCATTAACACCGTTCATCCCTGCGTCAGACTTTATCTAGCACTGCCCAGACGGACGCTTATAGATAACTTACAGCAAGAAGAACTTACAGCAAGAGAAAAACTCTCAGCGCTCATCACTCTGCCTGCCATTAGTGCCCGCAATCAGCTCTCGGAACTGAATTCGGAAGCAGATAAAGCAGCACTTACACAGTCTGAAGCGCGCTTGTGCTCGGATGTGCGCGAAAAGGCTTATACGCCATGCAATTAAACGGTTAAGATGTAAACAAAGTTGTTCAGAGTGGTCTGATGTGAAATGCTCTGTTGTAGAGAAGCTCAGAGTCAGAATTGTTCACAGTGGTGGTGGTAGGAACCAGACATCTGAAGAGTTTAATGCCTCAAAGGAAGTTATTGTTCAAAACAGTTCTGCATATGTTGCCTGGTGTCTGAGACAATGGGCCTCATTCAGCAAGGTTTTCCTAAGTTCTTAAATTTGTTCTTGAGAAAGGTCCTAAGAAAACATCTAATTGAGATTCATGACTCATTTTTAAACTGCAGAACTGTTCGCACCTTTGTGCTCTTGAGTGTGTAGATTCTGTTCTTCCCTAAGAACGAATCCCAAATAAGAAAACGTTGGTGAATGTTAGAATCTTCGTAAAACCTGCATGAAATTTCTTCTTAAGAGTGGTTGGTGAATGAGGCCCAATGTTTTCTGGTAGTTTTGATGTAAGATTTTGGCCTACAACATATTTTTAATATACATTCGGGGTGGAGAGGGACGTGCAGGGCGTTGTAAGAAAAAATAGTCCACAAACAGAACTTTCAGATTTACCACTATACTGTCAGAAATAAAGGTTCTGCGCAGGTACATTTTCCGGCCATCACGGTACAAACAATGTAAGTGTACCTGCAAGGGTACAACAGTGGTTTTAACGTCCAATTATGTACCTTAAATAAGTTTGTCCCACTTGAAAAGTAAATATTTGTACCTTTTCATAACCTAATGTTTAAAACAGAACGATAAAATAAAAAGCCTGGAGACGAGACGGGGTGTGTGGAGTTAATACGACTCGGAACATATATTTCAATGGATTATAGTACAATTATGTTCCCCTGACTAAAGGTACTGTTGTGGGCTGGAGGTTAGGGAACCAGCATTGTGACCAGAAGGTTGCTGGTTCGATCCCCTATGTTGTCAGTATGTGACTGCAGTGCCCTTGAACAAGACACCCAATCCCCAACTGGTCCCCAGGTGCCATGGATAGTGCTGCCCACCACTCTGGGCAAGTGTGCTCACTGCCCCCTAGCATGTGTGATTTAACTAGTGGATGGGTTAAAATGTGGAGGTGAAATTTCCCTGTTGTAGGATTAATAAAGGGTAACTTAACTTATTAAGTCAGTAACTTTAGTAATCACAAGAATTTTAACCCTTGCCCTACTTCATTACAAAAAAAGCAATCGCGTTACTGTGACATGTTACTCTGTACTGTGTTATCAGAACAGTGATCAACAGTATGTACAAACTCAGAAGACACATGTAGATCCAGTGGTTGTTTGGTACAGTAAATAAAATGGCTATATTTGCATTGAAAACATTGTCACCACTGGCTCCAGTAGTTGTAGGCAAACATTGATTTACTGACTGAGTTGATTGTCAGTTATCAGCTGTGAACTGCCAGGTGTGCTTGGCACTTCTCTATTGTGAATTTTTCTTAAATTCTAACAGCAGGTGCACCCAGTTTGAAATGATATAAATATAAAACAAATAAAACCGTCATCTTATACAATTAACTTAGTAAAACCTTAACCACAATAGTATCCCAGGTGGTTGTTAAAGACCACAATGGAAATAAGCCTGTGAGCTTTATGTGTTTTATATCCTGAATTTTTTTTTGTAAATGCTTGCAAACTATGTATGTGTGTGGTATTTTATGTATTTTATTGTCAAATAAATCTGTGTATGTACGATAACATCAGCTTTCTGATCTCATAAACAGCAAAATTAAAGCGTCCATTTCCTACATTTTTCGCCGATATCGACTAGTGACATTTGTATGATTTTATGTACCAAAAACATGAAAATTCATTTAACTGTACCTTTAAGACTGGTGTATGTAAATGAGTTCTGTTGTGATTGGCTGTTCTGTATTGTGCCTCATTACAAAAGCAGTCTGGGTAAAACACTCCTTTAACAGAACTGGGCTGAAACTGTTGTGGGCTAAGTAGACAGGAATATGCAAATGTGTTGATTTTCACTAAAACAATGAATACAAAACAGGATGTGTAGCTTCCGTTCGCAGATGTTATAGGTACCTTTAGTTTTCGATATTACCTAAGTATCGTCCGATTTTACCAATGAAGCGATAGATCAGCTCTGATACATACACAAACATACACGGCCACTTGCACACACCTACTTGCTCCAAAGCTGTTTTTTCCCCTTTTTTTCTCAAAGGCCTACATTAACAGCTCGGTTGCTGCGATGAGCGCAGCGCGGGTTCCGCCAGCTCGGTGCAGGTGACCTCTATTCCTCGCTCCTGTCTCCTTGACAGCGTGGCTGGGGCTCATTGAAATGCAGCCAGGCGGGTAAAAATAACCATGAGCCAACAGACGTGGGAGGGCATGGAATCACTGGCTGTTACCTGAAGCCCGGGCTGAACTCCGTCACCATGGAGCCATGTCCCAGCTGCCAGAAGCGCCCAGACAATTGCCCATGCCAAAATGGACTTGTTTAGAGTTATTAGAGCTGCAGTCGCTTCCTTTGGTATTGAGATGCGCCTTGAGTGGGACAGCTAGAACAACACCAAGAATTCAGAACCCAAATAGCACCCGAAAAAGCCGTTTTTGCCTAGGTTACTCTTCATGTAACACTGAACTACAAATTGATTTCTGTGTTGTAATATATAAGCTTCAACTACGAAAGGGAGGTAGAATCCGGTTCAAAAGTTTGGAATAACTTTTTGTATTCATAAATTTGTCGTTTGAAATATAGTGATAACTTATGGTGTTGTGCAGAAGTCAGAGACCACCCTTCATTTATTACAATTGCTACTGGTTCCCTTTCGCTTGCTGGCTCACTTGAGTCAATGAACTGTCTGGAAAACTCCAGTTCCCATGATTCAGTGGGAGATCACATGACTACTCCATCAGTTTAGTACTTTGTAAAGCATTGCCCACTGTTCCTGTTGTGTATTGAGTGGGTCTTGTCTGTAAGCCCAATCTGTGCATGACCTGTTTTTGTGTTTGAACATTTGGCTTGTTTGCTGGACACTATTGATCTCTTGGTTTTTTGAACCTGGACTGGTTACTGGATTCTCTCTGGATGTCCCTTTGATTTGGTTACCGTGCTTTCTGGTTTTGACCCTGGCCTGTTCTGACTATGCTCTTTGTGAAACTCCAAAGCTCTTAAGCAAACTACAGCCTTGTCTTTTAATCTGCAAGTGTCTGATCTGTTTTGACCACCTGACAATATCTAAAGAGATATAAGATAAGTCGCTGCCATGAGGAAAGGAAAATTTGAAGAAAAACAAGCAAAAAAATCAGGAGTTTATTGGGGATCATTTGGATTGTGAGAAGCAGGAAGTTCAACCAACTTCTGAGACTGAACTTTGTAGGTGTGGAAAAACATTTACAGTTTATTTGATAACTTGTATAATCCATAATATTGAGGCATTTTCAATATAAATTTTGATACTTCATTCTTGAAGTGCTTTCTCAGTCATTTTAGCAGCATAGTCCTTTTTCTAGCTTTGTACAAATGTTTTGGAACCTTTTGAAGTTCTGGCATTTTAGAATATTTGTATACATTTATCTGCAAAAGCAATGATTCCAAACCTTTGAATGGTAGTTTAAGTGGCGCATTATAGTAGGTAAACTGTGAAGTGGATGACTAAGACTGGAAAGTGCTACTAAATGCCCCTTTGAGCCAAAGCATGCCTCACTGAATTCAGTATTTTAGTGACTAGGTAAAAGGCAGACATGCTACCCCTATTGACCTATTGCTGAGTGGACCAGGAGTCACCATGAGTACACCTCCATGCACAACATGTTTCAGCTCTATGCTATTAGGTCAGAATGACTTTCTACTTCCAGCTTTTAATGGATCACTGGAAGATTCATGAACATATGGCTCATCTGTTCTCCATTTCCTCTCTGGGGTTGAGCTATACGCTTATGTTTACACTAGTGGATCATTATGCTTATTGATTTAGGGACTTCTTAAAAACTCCTACCTTGTATTTCCATTTACTAGCCACTTCATGAGGGCCACGCATGTTTCAGATGTACCATACAGGTGTATGATTACAGACTGTGGCTCATTGTCATGCACCCTCTACTCTATTCATCAGTATTCCGCCAAGAGAAGCTCAGAAACTGAGCACTGATGACTGTTGAGGATGAAACACATGGGCATCAGTCTGTACACATTTCTTAATATAGCCGCCAATGAGCAAATAAGTAGTCAGATGTTGAGCATTTTACACTTTTATCATTCATATACAGTAGCAAAAATGGATGAATTGTTAGGTTGAATAGAGTGATTTTATCCTACTAGATGTCGCAAAGTGATCCCATGTGGGATGTATTATTACATTCATTCATTCTATCAGTCTTAGTTTTCCCTCACCACTTGTGTGTTTCTTCCTCCTGAAGGGAACATCCGCAACACGGAGCGCCTGAGCTACGACAAGCAGCAGCACTACAAGATCATGGTGACCGCGTATGACTGCGGCCAGAAGAGAGCGACGGAGAGCGTGCCGGTCCACATCGACGTCAAACCCGTGTGCAAGCCTGGCTGGCAGGGTCAGTGGCTTCCCCATTCATTACTTCTGTTAGAACACCGTCTCTTGCTGCAAAGGTTTCTTTGGGAACTTGGCAGTAAACACAGACATCTCATATATTGATGGAAAATATGGTATATTAGTAGATATGATTGCATGTCATGTCAGGCCCTCAGTGTAGCACTATGCTGTATGTGCTATGTCAAGCCGCAATGTAGCATTAAGCTCCCTTGACTGTGATCTGGTAGGATGTTTATATAGTTCGTTTTATGTAGTAAAAGCAGGGTCCAGGCAATCTAGGCCAGGGGTGGTGCATTTATATGTTGGGTTTGAAAAAATGTTCCATGCCTCATAGGGGTACGCTACCAATGGTGCTACCACACTGTAAAGGAAAATGTTGTACATGTGACAGCATCACCGACAAAAACAGATGCTTACAGAAGGAAGGTTTTAGCAGTCTTGATTATTTATTTATTTATTTTTTTAATACTACTGGGTGTGCCCAGACCTCAACAATGAACCTGAAATGTCCCAACCTCATGCTAGGCCACCTCCAGCCGCTAGGGGGAGACAAGGCACCACTAAGGGGTAATTAGAGCTGAGCAGTAACAGCACACTACTTTGTGCTCAGTCTTGAGTTCACGATGCTATGTGCATGTTTTAGACTAAGCTGGTAATTTCAGTATTAGTTCCTCTCTTGAGTACTGGTTTCTTAAGTATCTCTTAGCATATAAAGTATAAAAAAAAACAAAAGAAACTTTGAGTGCCCTTTTGGTGACTGCATTCCCCTTTAGTTTTTACGAAACTCTTTTTTTGAAGACGCTGCTCTGGTATTTCTTTGGTTTGGCCTTAACCTCCCCTCTTTTGTTTGTCAACCCTCCTACGAAGCTCTTAACAGCTTTGCTGCGATAGTTCAGCAGCAAAGCCCTTGTCCCTGTGTCACGAGGTTGCAAGTTTGAGTCATGCTTTGTTTTTCTTTTCCTCCACGCTCTTGAGTCTGTACTGCTCTGCACCTGAGTCTACCTCTTATGCTTGGTCACCTGAACAACGTAACTACCAGTTTGATCCCCACTTGGGGTAAGCCAGCCGTCACACTACAGCGCCATTGGTTGAGTGCATGGATCTCCAAACATGTCCGTTTTTTTCATCACCATGATTTATGGCAAAACTGAAAATGGAACACTTGATAGGACTCTCCACTGACCGCTGTGGTACACTACCAATTTTATGGTGCAGATTCATTGAAAACAATGGAATATCCAGCACGGTTTGGTGTTTTAACCTGTTTCTTCACATTTATGAATTTGACAAACACTCTTATCCAGTGTGACTTACAATTTAGGGGTAGGCAAATGTCACGTTAGATGTCTTGCCCTCTTGCTACCTCATTACCCGGGTGGGGAATCGAACCCTTGTCTGCAGCATGGCGAGCAGCAGTCTTACTTACTATGCTCAAACAAACCAATTAAACCTGAGAATTAACTGCTGAGTTAAATCAGGTGTGTTTGAGCTGCAAAAGCACCAAACTTTGTTGGAATCCAGACTGAATCCAGGTGAAGACTGAAGTTCTCCACCCCTCGTGATTCACCTGTTGATGTTGATTTGCCTTAGACAAGAAGCTGTGAAGTGTCCCATTCTGCCACATGATGGGTGAGGCTATCAGTAGCTGTAGAATTACAATAGAGCAAACATCCTAAGAATAAATGGCACTACATCAGCCTGCTTCCACCACCACTCGCCTCAGACGGGTGATGCACTCCAGAGCAGTCTATTCACATGCACCCCTCATGATCCCATGCTCTGCAATTGTCTGCAGGAGGCACCTTTCGTGATCTTAACTAGAGAGATTGATGGCTCTGAACTCTGTCCTCTACTACTCTATCTCTCACTCTTCTTTACTTCTGCTCAAGCTGGAGGACATGCTTAGCACGACTCCACACAGGTGCACACTGATCTCACAGCCCATCTACTCAATTCCTGGTGACCGTTCAAGGACACTTCGCTATCCATAGCTCTTGTTCACAACATGATAACTCTAAAGTCTAAAAAAATTATTAGTGTTATTCTGATTGCTTTTGCTTGTCTTGATTCTTCAAAGCTTATACTGAAAATCTCTACACCAATATTGTAAAGGTCAATACTGCAGTAAATATTACCAAACTTTATGTTGCACTGCCCTACTGTGTAGCCTAGCTGCCAACAGCAGAATAGACTACATGGTTTATGTAGCTTTTGTGTATTTGGCTTCTCAATGATTTGATCTGTGCAGCAGATGAATGGTATATGCTTCCACTGATTGTTGTAATCAGTGATGGTACACAACCAGTGGAGTCATGAAATGTTGTGATCATGCACTACAACATTTCTAATGGTGGGTTTTTGTTTGGGTTAAATTTGAGTTTTGTTGTACATAGTACTTTGGGTGAGGTTTCTAGGTTGTACATATTAGTTTGGGTAAAGTTTAAGTTTTGCTGTACATATTAGAGTGGGTTAAGTTTCTATGTTGTACATGTTGGTTTGGGTTAACTTTGTTTTGTTCTACATGCTAGTTTGGATTAGGTTTAAGTTTTGTTGTACATTTTAGTTCGGCTTTTGTTGTACATGTTAGTTTGTGTTAAATACAGGATTTTTTTGTATATGTTTGGGAAACTTAAACTTAGATTTTGTACAGATTAGTTTGGGTAACATTTGGGTTTTGTTTTTTACAGATTAGTTTGGGTTAAGTTTGCATTTTGTTGTACATTCATGCTTGGGTTAAAATTGGATTTTTTTTTGTACATAATTGAGTCAAGTTTGGGTTTGTTGTACATGTTAGTTTGGTTCAACTTGTTTTTTTGTTGTAGATGCTAGTTTGGGTTAAATTTTGGTTTTGCACATGTTAATTTGGGTTAAGTTTGGGTTTTGTTGTACATTTGACTTTAGATTAAGTTTGAGATTTATTTTTTATCAAGTTATGTTGTACATGTTAGTTTGGTTAAAAGTGGAATGGGTACACCTGGACTTCAAGTTAAAAAAAAAAAAAAAGTCAACATCTGGCTTAATTTACTGCATTTGTTTTATTTCACCCAATCCACTTTATTTCAGTGTTCCATTCAAAGGTGGCCCTCTATTTGGTGCCCTAGGCAAAATTTTATTTAGGAGGGTTGGGTGGGTATACTGTGAGTATCCCAGGCCTAATTTGTGTGCACTGTGAGCGCACACATTTTCCCCTTATACTGTTAAAATAAAGGATCTAAATCTGCTACATGGACTGTCTGGTTGACCTTAAAATTCTCCATTCTACTTAACAGATGTGGCTACCTATATATAACCCAAGGTTCTTAGAAGAAGGACAGGGATGCCCATCATTCCCCATTTTTAAAAAAAAGTCTGGAATAAATTAACACATCTTCAGCTTCAGTACAATTTAAGCAGAGTCTGTAAGCCACAAGTCTATTTGTAAATTGTGTATCTCTCTGGCACGATATAGTTCACCATAATGAGTATTAGGTCACAAGCTGTCGAAGGCGACCGTGTTTTCCATCAGGTTCAAACAGCATGTAAATTTTATCACTGCAATGTGCACAACACAGTTTGCACGTTCATCAGGGTAAACAGTCACATAATTTAAAAGGTTTCTCGGGACTTTGTTTGCAAGCCAAATCAGCCAGGGAAACTTTTTTTAAGTGCTGTGTTTTCACAGAGTCCTTCCAAACGAGCAGCCTCCGTGTGGCTGCTCCCTTTCCAAGTGCATGTCACTTGAACTCCTCTCCAATCCTGCACTCTGCAGTTTCAGCAATTAGAAAGGTGCCGTTCTGCCAGTTTGTTGAGAGAAGCCACTGCGTGGAGAGATGGCTTTAGCTCTGTTATTACCTGGAGAGAGTGAGAGAGAGAGAAAGAGAGACTGTTGCTTGCAGAGGAGGGGGTAGGCTTATCCTACAAAAGGGCAGCTCCCTCTCGGAGCAACCCGAAATGTCACCCTCAAGCGCATTAACTGCAAATCTTGTAAATCCGTAACCCTTGGCAATACATGTGTCACACTCGCGCCTTGGCTGTGTTATAGTACACCAAGCATGTCCTCCCTTTCTGTGGGCCGTAATTCAACTGCTTCCCACACGACGGCCAAGTTCGGGTTTGGAAATGCAAACTAATTTCGGTCAAATCTCTCTCTCTGGACACTCAACCCTACAACTTCTCCTGGCTTTCCTCAGGGTTTACGGGGAGCCGCTCTCGTCTGCGTGCGTGATGGTTCCGTAAAAGTGTGTTGACAGGTGCTGGCAGGCTGCTAGGCACAGTAGAATAAGCAGTCATTGCCTCGTAGATTGCATGGCCCGACTTGTCAGTCACACGGGTACGGCACTGAGGTGGAAACTCAGAGTGAGTGACGGCAATGACAGACCAGGACGAGGTGAGCAAGACACGGCGGGGCTTTCTCACTCCGACGCTTCCCGCTAGCATGGGCGTGTAATCGGCCCGGCCTTTCTTTCTTTCTCTCCGCGGTCAATCCCCATCTGTCAGTGTTGATCACTCCATCTATTCCATCCCTCCCTCCCCTGTCTCCAGACACCCCCCCCACCCCTTGTCCATCCAGGAAGAGTAACATTTCACTATCCAGGTTCAGAATCCATGCAGAGCTGCCTCTCCTCATCCAGTCCTCTATATACATCCTCCATTGAAAATCAACATTTGACTCAATGTATTCATCAGCATTTTTTCCTCTGTACGTTAATGGAATATATTTCAATGGAAATGTGGAAGACTTACAAAACCGGAAGTTTTTAGGTATGAAGAAATCAGCAGTTGTGCTGTCCGTTTTGTCTTCGCATGGCTGTCTTTGTATGAAGGTGTGAATTGTTTTCGTGGCAGGGGGTTCTCATCCCACCCCTTTCACCCTCATTGCTTGCTAGCAGCCCAACACAGAGTCACAATTGCAACACAACAGCATTTCATAGACTGAAAGCCAACAGTGTCCTAGTTAATCTGATAGCAGAGTAATGGGGAAAACATTGTATTTGAGTACAGTAATTAAAAATATCCAAAGAA